ATCACAAAATTAGTAATATTCCAAAGTTTCGTTGCGAAATGTTGTAAAATGCGGATAATATAGCCTTGCGAAGTTTGCCGTTTTTCAGTCATTTTGTATTGCGCACGGGAAATTGACAGCCCAATCAATTTCCCGTTTGTAATACAAAATGACTGAAAATTACAAACTTCGCAAGGCTATATTATCCGCATTTTACAACATTTCGCAACGAAACTTTGGAATATTACTAATTTTGTGATGCTCTTTCAAGCTGTGATGAAATTTTTGTCTAGATCAAAATTTAGTCTATAATGCAAATGGTCCATTGCTTCTTTTTCAATGTCCTTATTTCTTCTTTTTTTTATATTTTAGCTCTTCTCAAGACAAAAATCACTCCGTCCTTCACACAGAAGACACCGAAATAATTCCATTATGTTCCCAATGTTCGTCTATTCCCAATCTACATTGGTCTTGGCGTGTTGTAGAGATATCAAGTCATCTCAACACTACAACCACATGTGAAGTAGACGACCTTACCCTCAACTCAAGCAAACTATTTATACCAGCTAGCACTCTGCAATCCAATACTTTATACAAAATACAATTAAACGTGACAAGCTTGACTCGTAATATTAGTGGGCACTGGAATTATGAGTTGAGAACTAATGACATACCAATGGCCGGCTACTGTGATATCAAACCTCATGAGAGCATAACTCTACTGACTGCGTTTCAAACCAACTGCTACGCATGGTACGATAGAGATCAACCGCTGAGCTATGAGTACTTGTATTCAACCGACGGCGCAAAGTATAGTATGTTTTATAATGGAGAAAGTCCAGCCTCTGGGCTGAGCTTTTTTAAAGCGGGCTTGCCTGAACTGGGTTTTGTAATCAGTGTTAAAGTTATCATCAAAGATGGCTTAGGAGAATCGTCCGTTGTATTTTTGACAGTCAAGGTTAGTTGGTTTAATACAGTTCATTGTATGGCAATGAGTTAACTTTAACATATCAATCTATAAATATTGGTTAGTGCATGTGTCTTTCATCTGTGTGACGAGGTTTGATGCAATATGCAATTATCCGATTAGAACTTCGCCTCAGTCGTATTTGAGTTCTTCCAGAGTGCTTCCAGTTCGACTTTACCATTACGGGTTTTCCCTGCGTTCTTCGATTTCCTTTTCTAGTAAATTAGAACCAGTTAGTGATGATTGTTACTGGTCCTCTAAAGAGAACAGTTTAGAACTGATAGAACTATCCAGTGTGACTACAGGTGGAAACCTCGACTACCAATAAGGGATGGCTTTTACTGGACTTAAAGAGACGCAGTTAGTACCGTACGTAGTACCTTTAGTTGTACCATGTAAATTATATCAACTGTGCGTGTACTAACCATCTAAAAGTCTGTGTATGGTCCTTCGAGCACGTGGTCCTTCGAGCCGGTTATCTGGTATTTCGAGCCGGTTACGTAAAAATAAAATTATATAGGTTTCGATTTCCTGCTGTAGTAACATTACACCATTAAGTTTGCCTTTACTGGATCTCTAGGAAGAACGGTTTAGAACTAATGGAGCTGTCCTGTATAAATAAAGTTAGCTTAGTTTAGGTTTCGTCCTGTAGTGACGCTGAATCAATAAGAGATTATCCTCACTGAACCTCTAGGGAGAACAGTTTATAACTAATGGAGCTGTCCTGTATAAATAAAAGTACAAAAGTTTGATCATGAAATTTCTTTTAGAACCCTCCACCTTCTGACAAGCAAATTGAAGAATTCTTCAACTCATCTCAACAAATAGACGGCCAAGTGTGTCACCTATTGAACGACAATAATGTTCAAGGTGCTTTGCAATTCCTACAGACTGTTAGCGGTTTGTTGAATGAAAGGTCGAATAGGAGTGAACAAAGTGGCAAACGAACTGAGGTGTGTTGTGTTTCTTGTTGAGCATATCCGTTGAGAAAGTCTTTAGGTTGGTTTCACTTTTTTATGGGGGGTCAACCTGCAGTTATCAGAGTGAAAAAATAATGTTCATTCTTATCATTATATGGAGATGTCTTGTATTTGATGCAAGTAAATAGAGAGAGGTGTATTTTAATTTGCTTGTTCGGTTGTTCCTACAGTGACAACGTGACTACCATCTGCTGTCCCGTAGCACTCGAGGCTCATTTCCACTCAGGAAAATTTTCCGCAGAAAGAAATATTTGTGAAATGTGATTGGCCAACACAAATTTTTCGTCGGAAAAAAATGTTGAAGTTGAAAATTTTGAATTTTTAACAATGATATTGTTGGAAAATTGGTAAATTTTCTTGATTGAAAATAGGCCTTTACTACAATCCTCCTATCATTTCATATCGTTATTAGATGCGTGAAAGGATCTTAGATAATCTCAAGAAACTCTGTTGTTCAGATGGTGTTGCAACGAAACAGACAGTTGAAACCATCTTTTCCGTGGTCAGCGTTCCTTCAGAGTTGAGTCTTGACGCACAGGTAGCGACGAAGTTTAAAATTCTGACCATCTTTTAGTTTTGGTTGTAGGTCAAATAAATATATGACTGAGGGACCTCGCCATCTGACTTCAAAACCATTGAACTTATTTTTATTAATTATCATGATAATTAGTGAGCTTAAGCAATCGATGTTTTTATCAACATGGACAGTGCTGGAAAATGTCCTGCAGCGCCAGCAGCACCGCTGCCAGGAAATTTTTAACAAAATATCTTCGCAGGAAATTTTCTTACAACTTGCAAGAAATTTTTGTCATCTCGTCTACTGGAATGGCATATCATTTATACTTATTGTTTACAAAGACCATTTGCAAGTCGAGATCGTCTTGTGCCTAGATTAAAGTTGATCACATTGTGCGACACCATACGTTCTCTGAAATCTATAGCTATCATGAGGGTTTATATTTGACTTATACACTGTCACAGGAAATTTCTATTTTTGAATTTTGCTGCCAGGAAGAAAAATATATTTTCTAGGCCTGAACATGGACGTCACCCGAAAATTGGTATAACTAATTTTGGCGTCATTTTGTATCGTAGCGCTCGTAGTAAGGAAGTAAAAAACTGTAAAAATCTTGTCATATAAACTGTAAATGTTTTGTCAGTCCCCCCTCGGCATCTGACGTCCGTACCAAAACGTCGCTTGCTTTAAAAGTTCCCTAATGAATCGAATGTGAATCGTGATGTTACTTATATTGCTGTTGGTACGTGATGGCCATATATTGTCCCAGCCTATTCAGAGTACAAACGCTTTACTAGCATACTTTTTTTCAGTTACACGCTTCGACCATCTATCTAAACATCACTCGAAGTCTTCACTTAACATCGGAGAAGAGCGAAGTTGAGAAAATGGCTAAAAAAATAGCAACTGGTATCTCCCTGCTGTTGTCAGCTGTTACGTTGCTTAGCAACGGTACTACGTCAGGAAATACTACGCAGGTAAACAGTTGGTCTATCAGTAATGGCTGACGTCCAGGTTCGTTTGAAAAACCGTCTACACGCCATCCAGAGTTTCGTCAGATCAGTGTTTACCAATACTACATTCGTTTTTCAGTTCGACCAAATTCGTTGTGACTGAGACGAAATTATAATCAGACAACAATATATTACAGGAATCAAAACCTCGGTCACAGAACAGGAATCTTACAGAAGGACTTCTTGGTTTTGCCTGTGATGGGCCATTGAAATGCTGTCGCCATGTTCCTAGCCAGTGCCCTTATGAGAGACATTCACCCCTCAAAATGGCAGGCGTTCAGGGGGTGAATGCTTCTCATAAGCGCACTGGGGAACATAGCGAGTTTATTATGATGACAAATCATGGCATGACAGCCTTCTGTGAGGTCTCCATTATGTGCCTCAGTCACAGAGATGAAAGCATAGAAATAATACACGTGCACTGGTCATTGTCTCGTTTTCCTTTAGATGAACAAAATCAACGAAGCTTCATTGCTTGCCATCGGTAAACTGGGCGACACTTTACTCCATCAGACGGAGCCTGGACAACCCGCGATCGTCTTGGCCACATCTCTATTTACCATTGCTGTTCAGAAACATTTTACTGACGAGTTTTCTGGAACACGTCTCACTTTCCCGAATCAGATCACGGAATTTGCGATTCCAGGGAAATTGAATCCTATTCAAGGACCATTTGTTAGCAGTAAAGTGAGTGGGCTGATAGTGTAAGGCCCCGTTTACATGAGACCGGAATGAAATCAAACCGGGACCATTTCGTTTCGGTCATAGTATAATTTATAATAGATGTTTATATGAGATATATGTTTTAATAAAGTTTTCCTGTCTCTCTCTCTCAAGTCATTCCGCCTGCTGAACCGTGCCGACTGACTTCAGACCGGCATGAATTCAGACTGGGTTGAATGTAAATACAAATATATTTCAGACCGGTCTCGGCTGTAACCTTGACATTGGAACAACACATGCTAACAAAAGCCATCTAAAAACGAAAATTGCCTGGCAAGGGGAATAAATTGAAAATTTTGTGATTTTCGTACCGGTCTCATGTAAACATGTTGACAATTTCAATTTTCATTCCGGTTTGACTTCGTCCCAGTCTCATGAAAACGGGGTCTAACATTTGTTTTTTACGGCATATAATTATTTGGCTTATAGAGACGGCATCACACGAACTATCAGGGAAATATCAGTCAAGATAGTTCCCAAAACCATCGCCTGAATAGATCGCATAATATATTCTAGATATTTCATATTGATCCTGTGTTTGACCAATGATCTGTCAATTTCTGATAAAACTTTTGCTGTGTCTTTCAGATGCTATCAATGTTAAACAATCCTTTCTTACGGCAAACCTCATCGCATCGTCTCGAGCCAAACACTGATGTGGCGTCCTTGGAATTGTTGGACAGTCAAGGAATTGAACTTCAAATGAATAACTTAGTCGAACCTTTTGATATCTTACTTCAGGGCAAAGACTCCTCCATAGTCTCTACTCAGGACTCCGCCCAAGACTCGTCCCAATCCCCCACTAAACACTCGTCCCAATCCTCCACTAAACACTCGACCCAATCCTCCACTAAACATACCTCCACACTCGCAGAAGACTCTGACCCAGACCTCTATGAAATCAACACGACCAGAAGCAACGCAGCTATTTTAGTCACTATTCAGCAGATCTCCGCGGATACCAAAGGCCAATTACGCATGCGCATATATAAGGCCAACCAATCACGAGCAACCGGAAATTATCTCATTGTCTCGACCACATCCTCGTTTCCAGTTTCCTTGACATGGCGTGGACTTTTGCGGCGTGGTACCTATTATGTTAGTGTTGAATATGAGAGTTTGGCATTTCGCCGGGCGGGAAAAGCGAACGGGATCGAATACTCGATGTCTTTCAGGGAAATAGGTTGTTATTATTGGAATGTTTCCCGAGAGAGGTGGAGGGCAAGTGGTTGTCAGGTAAACTAATGAGTCACGTGGTGGTCATGTAGAGTCCATGTGAGGGTCACGTGGCCATGATGATAGCCGACTTGCTACACACGCAAAAATCTCGCATCTTGTAGCAAGTCTGCCAACAAGCCTTCAACAAGTTGTGTTCACACTGCTTGTCCCAAGTTGTCAACAAGTTTGGAACAAGCTGTTAACAATTTGTAATTAACAACCTTGGCTTGTTACAAGGTTGTTCCAACAAGTCCGATACAGTCATGATATAGCAATATTGTTACAAGCTTGTGTCGTCAACCTTGTAACATTCTTGTTCATCATGACTGTATCAGACTTGTTGGAACAACTTTGCGACAAGTCTGATAATGCCATCAAGCTTGTTACAAGTTGTTAACAAACTTGTGACAACAAGCTTGTTCCAAACTTGTGACAACAACTGGGAACAAGCAGTGCGAAGACAACTTGTTGACAGCTTGTGAACAGATCTGTAACAACTTGTTTGCAGACCTGTAACAACTTGTGCGTTTTTACGTGTGTACAAACGGTTGTATTGAGAAGACGATATCAGATCTTTCGCACATCCCCAGCTTGTTGACAAAGCTGTTACAACTGATGACTTTATTATATAAAGACCGTTGATCAAGTTGAGTGGCGTCTTTCTTAATTCAGCTTAGCTCTCAGCTGCAAGTAAGGATGGTTAGCACCCTCTTTCCTAACCCTCCCGCCCCCCATCCCCACTAAAAAGGCTCCTTATTTCCTTAGACCTTCAAATTTTCCTTGTAGGTGGGTCTACGTAGTACAACAACCACAACACACTGTGAATGCAACCATCTCACGTGGTTTGGCGGCAGAGTGGTTGTTCCTCCGAACTCCATCAGTTTTGCAAAACTCTCAGAACGTATTAAAGATCCAAGCAATTACGTCACCATCTTGAGTGTGTTGTGTTCCGTCTTGGTTTTGTATTGTCTGCTTCTAGTCTGGGCGAGACGTCGTGATATCAAAGATGAAGGCAAGGTTAGTCACTGACTTGATTTCAGTGGCGAAGCTTGCCATAGCAACATGTCATGCTATGCAAATGTTTAATGCCGGATTTGTATATTTCAAACCTTTAGAAATGTATTGTTTAATCTATTTAGAGGCAGGTTTATTAGCATAACATGACCAGTTGCCATGGCTAGTTTCGCCACTGGTTTATTTTTGTACGGGCTAAGGGATTGATTATACGGCGAATTTCTAACCCTGAAATTTTAGGCTTCAGCCTGGGTTCTTCAAAGAATCTCACAACATGTCAACAAGATGTGTTCGCAACAGGCTTGTAGCAAGCTTGTCAGCAAGTTGTAACAATACTGTTATTTCATCAAGTTGCTACAAGGTTTTCACTCACAACTTGTTGACAAATTGTTGATTTCAGGACGATAACAAGTTGTTGAAACAACTTGTAACAAGTCTGTTGTCAACAAGCTTGGAAGAAGCAGTGCGCCACCACGGAAATTATATTTTCAAATATGTTTGTTTCAGAATGGTATCACGTGGTGTCCCAGTAATCACGTGGCAGATTCACACCAATACCAGGTGATTATTTATACTGGCATCAGACGGAATGCCGGGACAACAGCGAACGTCGGTCTAATGCTGTCGGGTGAGCTCGGAAAGAGTCGGAAATGCTTGCTGAAAAGTTCAAAACGTGATGTTCTGAAACGTGGCCATGTTGACTCATTCCTTATCACGACAACCGGAAGTCTGGGGCCGCTAGATTATCTCCATATATGGCACGACAGTACCGGAAGTGATCCGGCGTGGTTTCTTAACCGCGTGGTCGTGCTCGACTCGGAGACTGGTCGGGTCGAAAACTTTCTATGCTACCGCTGGCTTGCAGTTGACGAAGGCGACGGCCAAATTCAGCGGTTGCTGCCAATCGCGGACGCGGAAGATCTAAAACGGTTTCGTCATCTGTTCGTTTCCAGGGCAACGAGCGAGCTGACGGATGCGCATCTATGGTTTTCAGTTGCGTTTCGTCCCGTGTCCAGCCCGTTCACACGTGTACAACGCGTGTCGTGTTGCCTCACCCTACTGTTAACATCTATGATGGCAAATGCAATGTGGTATGAGACAGGGGGGAGCGGGAACGCGTCTCAGATAAACCTAGGCTTGTTCAGTTTCTCGTGGGATGAAGTATTCATCGGTGTATGTAGTAGCTTCATTGTGTTTCCAGTAAATCTCCTCCTGGTTCAAATTTTCCGACATTGTCGGTCTAAGAACAAACCCTCTCGTCGGCCATCTTTCTTCCCGACACAAAAGACGAAAGTGAAACCAGCATTTTTCAACATGCGCACGACACTACTTGGGTCACGTGATGGATCGGCTGAAACACGTGATCGATCACGTGATGTGTCACATGATATTTCGCCAGTGATGCTGACGTCGCCTCAAAGAACGTCGGAACGTCTTCGGAAGACGAGCGTGTTGTCATATGTCGTAGTCTCGCCCCAGGGCTCGCCGGATGGCGCTCGAAGTGTGACGTCATTACTAAGTCACGTGAATTCGCGGGGCAAACGATTTAAGGACAATAATATGTTACCATATTGGTGTCAATATATTGGTTGGATTGGTGTGTTTATAACCTGTCTTACCTCGGCTACTGTTACTTTTATGTACGCTATTGAATTCGGAGAGAACAAAACACGTAAATGGCTTTTGTCTCTCACTATTTCCATCATCAACGACGTTTTTATCGCACAGCCGTCGAAAGTCCTTGTCGTCACCGTCGTGTTGGCCTACATCCTCAAACGACCGTTGAAAGAACGCTACTCCAGCGATGACGTCATACAGCAAGAGACATTGGAGACCGCGCCAACTCAGGAGAGTGAGTTTGAAGCACCGGACTTCAATCTTTGCACTGCTGATGAGTTTTTACGAACCGCGAGAGAACAGCGGGAAAAAGATAAATTCATGTATGGCTTAATGAAGAATGTCATTTCACATCTGTGTTTTACCGTGCTTGTTTTGATCATAGCCTACGGTCAGAGGGACATCATGGGCTACCATTTAACTGCTACCCAAGAAAATACGTTTGTTTATAAAAGTTTTAAAGAAAAATCGTTGAAAAAACAAACCTATGGGTTTTATCAGGTAAAGTGATTCAAAACAGTTTTTCTTGTTGTCAAAAGTAGGGAGAACAGTTTAGAACTGGTGGAGCTATCCAGTAGAAATAAAGTTAGTTTAGTTTAGGTTTCCTCCTGTAGTAACACTGGATCAAGAAGAGATGATCCTTACTGGACCTCTAGGGAGAACAGTTTAGAACTGGTAGAGCTATCCAGTAGAAATAAAGTTAGTTTAGTTTAGGTTTCCTCTTGTAGTAACACTGGTTCAATAAGAGATGATCCTTACTGAACCTCTTGGGGGAAACAGTTTAAAACTGGTAGAGTTATCCAGTATAAATAAAGTTATTTAAATATTTTTAATATTTCCTTTTTGTTCAAGGTTACAAATGTTAAAGATTTCTGGCTATGGAACAAAGCTGTACTTCTACCAGGGCTATCAAACAATGCGTGGCATAATTACAGCACTGAGTGGTCGACTTTTACTGCAAATTTTGGAGGCTTCCTCTTTGGAGCCGCTAGAATGCGTCAAAAGAGGCTTAAGAAAGGTTAGCATACAAGAGTAGCCAATGCCTCACATAAGCCATTACCTCACATAAGCCATTACATCGACACTAAATGCGAGATTTCAATCCACATATATGACGAGATTTATAGATATGATTCTAAGACACGTAAAAATGCGCAAGTTACAGATCTGCAAACAAGTTGCAACAAGGTTGTTGTCAAGCCGATATCAGGATGTGTTCGCACTGCTTGTTCCCAGTTGTTGTGACAAGTCTGGAACAAGTTGTTATCATCTTGTTACAAGGTTGATGACGGTAACAGACTTGCTACAAGTTCCAACAAGACTATACAGGCTGTTCGTAATAAATTGCCACGAGCTTGTTGTCATCGCCTTGTTAACAACTTGTTGCGTGCAGACGATATCAGACTTGTTGGAACAACTTGTTGCGAGTCTGTTGGCCTCATCAACTTTGTTACAAGATGACAACTTGTTCCAGACTTGTCAACAACTGGGAACAATCAGTTATATTTTAGCCTTTTATTTCCTTTCTTTACAGATGTCTGCGATGTGCTACCGATGTTTAAAGACATTATTCAAAACTGTTCAGGAAATTACGAATGGAGCAATGAAGACAAAGCTAGCTATGAAAATCGTTGGGCCAAACCATCCGGTAATAACCACCTATGCAATACTAGAAACAGTGGTACGCTCCCCCCGGATCACTGGTGCTACACTAGCTTGAATGGGTTAATAACCGCCACTTATGTTGGTCGATTAGAGACTTATTCTGGGGGTGGTTATAGCCAGGTTATAGGTCAAAATTACAAAGCCTCTTTGAACCTGACAAGGGAACTTAAAGAGCACAAATGGATAGACAAGTACACTCGTGCAGTTTTTGTCGAATTCACCCTATATAACCCTAACGTCAACCTGTTTTCGATCGTAACCTTTATATTCGAGATATCTTCCAGTGGGGATTTCAATCCGGGGACAAATCTCCTATCGATACGACTCTATAATTACGTCGGCAACTTCCAAATATTCGTCCTGATTTGTCAGTTACTTTTCCTGGGTTTCCTGTGCGTATATACGTATAATTCCGCGAAAGGTATTTTTCGAGAAAAATGGCGGTTCCTCTCGAAAGCTTGGAATTTCTACGAATTTGTGTTGGTGCTTGTTTCGTGGCTTGCTGTTGCGATATATTTCGTCGCCATCGTATTTCGAAAACGGATCCTTCAGGAGTTCCGAGAGGACCCGACGAAGTTCACGAGTTTCCGACACAGCGCCTCCTGGCAGATGTCGCTGGAGTACGTAATTGCCGGCTTGGTGTTTTTGGTTTCACTGAAATTTCTCCGGCTGTTTCAATTCAACCGTCGCATGTTTTTGCTGCCTTTGACCCTATCTAACACCGCACGCGAATTGATAAGCTACACTGTAATCTTCTCGATAGTTTTAATGGCATTTTCGCTACTTTACCACCTAATGCTTCAGCCGTACAATCCGAATTTCGTCAGCATTGTTAGTACCATAGAAACTCTGTTGCGTGTGTTGCTAGGCAAATCTGACGTGCTCGTAAAACATCATCAGTTCCCAGACCTCGAACGCGTCGTGATTTTCGTCTACATGTGTTTGATGAAATTCATACTGTTGAACATTTTCGTTGCCATTTTGAACGACGGTTTCTCGCGTGCAAGGGCAAGTAATGAGAACCAGCGAAATGCCTTCGAGTTTTTTGACTTTATGAAAAACACCGCGAACGAAATGCTGGGAATAAGACGCTTGAATGGCGCGAAAAAGCAAAGCGTTTCGTCGGTAAAAATTCGACGTGTACGATTTAAAGACGAGAAGCCAATGAACAATGTTGGGTACATGCTGAGGAAGTTGGAGAAGAAAGTGGAAATGATGCTGAATGTGGTGCAGTCTGACTCTTTTAAAGACACTTTCTACGATGAGGGAATATAGAGTGCTATACAAATTAGAACCACAGAAAATAATTTAATGGGTTGCATCTGCACATATAAATGTAAAACTCGGTTTCTTGTGAATAATTGATAATGCTGGTCATTATTCCTAATTCACAAGTTTTTGGCGTTATTTAAAAAATGAAAATGTCAACAAAAAATCCTCATAACTTTTTTCTTTGATTTTTACCTGAATTAACCCCAAATTTCTTTTATGTAAATTATTAAAAAGGAAGCTTATTCATATTCTTGATTTGTTGGATCATTGATGAGTCAGGATGGAGAAACATTTCGTCGTCAAAATATTTCGCTGGATTTCTTTTGAATTGTGACCATTCGAATCACTCCCGGCGTTCTACTTGATCGCTCACAATTCAAAAGAAATTGAATGAAAAATGTTGGACAGCGAGATGTTTCTTGCAGAATAAAGGCCATTTCCACTCAGGAAAATTTTCCGCAGAAAGAAAATTTTGTAAAATGTGTCTGGCCGACACAAATTTTCCGTCGTAGAAAATTTTTGAAGTTGAAAATTTTCAACTTTTAACAATGATATTTTCGGAAAATTTTCTGTCCGTGGAAATTTTTCTTGAGTTGAAATGGGGCTTAAGATCCTGTTTTACCTGGAATCAAAAACGTTACCATAGCATTTTCTTTTGTGTCGAAGTCATTAATGAATAATGGTTCCTGCACCCTGGCATACACTTAGCAGACAAAGAAATATACGCTTCTTGGATACCATATACCGTTGAAGTGAAATCAGGCTTTAAATTTATGTAAATTAGTAAGAAGAAAAGTTATTTATCTTAAAAATCGATTTGTTCCAGTTAACTGCAGTTAGGACGAAGGCGCATTGAATTGGTCGCCCTAAACTAACCAAATTTCCCAAAACTACAGGCGGACTTCTATATTATAACGAGCACACCTCGTACAATATGGAGTATTATGGACAGTAAAGCTCTGAGGATAGTTTGCAAGCGAGAGTTTTCTCAACTCGTCTTGTACCCGGATGAACGAGAACAATAGTTGCATGAGAGTTGATGAGAGTTGATTGAATTAATACCTACAAACCACTGCTATAGCAGAGTAGATATTACACGCGCGTAGCGAGAACTCTCATCAACTCTCATCAAAAATTGAACCAATTTTATAAGTCAAGGTCCGGTTTGTCCTTGCATGTAATCCCTGCATGGTCAAACGAGATTGAGAGTTTTCGAGAGAGTTCGAACCAGTTATACAACGATTACATACGACAAAAGAGCGGCGTCTAACTCAATTAAGTCCAAGTCTTATCTCTCGTTTAATATCTATACTAACAAAACGCATATTAACTGAAACTGCAGCAAAATTAACGATTTTTAATATTTTGACCATGAGTATAATATTCTATATAGTTATAACGAATACGCTTATATTTAATTTTCTGTACATTTCAATATAGAAATTCATTTTTATATTGGATACGGGTATTTCAACATATAATTTTCAACCGTTAGAGGCAAGTTTAACTCTAAAACTTGTTCCAAACTTAACGTCCTGTTTATAGCCGTTCTACAAAGATGCTTTAACGTTGCTGGCTTGTGGAACAAAGGTTTCTTTAAAACGAACGGTATTTCTTGTGGAGTACTTGTTGCATCGCTTTCTTTTTCCTTGCTTTCCATAGCAAACACCTTTCTCCCGTCTAAGTTATTGCTCACACGCTTGTAATAGTATATTAATTTTAATACGCAGTCAAAATTCGGCATATTTCTATCCGCTGGTTCGATGCTGTCCAATGTAAACCGCCCTCTTTTATACAGAATTCTGACATTTGTCATTCCAGCCTTGTCTGTTCGAACTGAAAGCGTGAAGAGATGTCTCGAGTCTGTGCTGTCTCGAAGCAAATATGTGCCATTAGGTTGGTATTTTAGTTTCCGCATTGCTTCCATACTGTCCATGGGGCCCCAATACCAACACGAATTGTCCAAGCGCTCTAAAACCTCTGCCAGACGGTTAGGCGAACTTTGGCGCACCAACGGTTTTGCTTGCATCGCACGTAAGAAATGCCATCTGGGCAAAAGATCTTCTGCGTAGCAGCGAATTTGGAGTGTTTCTACAACGAAAAATGTTTTGATTACTCCCTGGAGAATCGAGTTATTTGTTATTTGGAAGCTTATTACAGCAACGCAATTCCTGCAGACGTTTGATTTGTAAAGATTGAAAAAATATTTAAATCCCAAGAAGTCGTCTTCCTAGAATTCTATTATGAGGCACTTCCGCTTTTTATCTCGATTACATGGGGAAGTCCCACAATATCATGTTGATGAGTGTTCCAACTATGTCTTAACTTAAAAGAATCCATGATAATGTTGGGAAAGCATTAAGAACAGCTAACCAATGTCGCTAGCTGACTGCCAACTTTCATGCACTATCTCATCCTCGTTTCATCCGTATTTGACTTCGTCGATACACTAAGCGGCATCAGGTTGCCAAGGGGGACTGGATTAAAAACTGTGTTTGGGTCCCTTTGTGGTAATCTTCAGCACACATGACAAAACAGGTTTTTAAGGAAGTGTAAAACCTGCAGCACACGAGAGCTATCTGCTGAGCAAAAAGTTACTCGTGCCTGTTAGCTCAGCTGATAGCTCACCGATCAAACATGTTTGATACGTGAGAAAAGGTTGCATGAGGCAAAAAACTCAGTAAAATGTACGCGCACACGGTGAGCTATCGGCTGAGCTAACAGGCACGAGTAACTTTTTGCTCAGCAGATAGCTCTCGTGTGCTGCAGGCTTAAGGAAGACTCTAATTTCCATGTCAACGACCATATTAGCATATATGTCGGGATCGAGGAAGCAAGCCAATGTTTCTTGTATTTCTATATATATACTAAGCAGGACTATACAAAACCAATTTTTCTGTGAATATGTCCAATGGCTTTGCAAAGACACGACAAAAAGAACTTTCAGTTTAAATGTCGATAATTTCCTACCACAGTCCACAGACATAGTTTTTCAAAATACGGTCTGAAAATTCGGCTATATATAGTCAAAAGTCGCCATTCTAGAACCCAATTCAAGGTTCTAGAACCCAATTCAAAGTAGCAGCTGTCTCAGCTTGTGATGTACGCGTTGTATATATATAAGACGTGCTAATCTGTATTTTGCCGTTGTAAACAGAGCAACGGCGACGCTTAAAACCCCCATGGGATTTTAATTGCTAATTTCTGTTCATTTTCTTGTATTATTAATATCATATTAGAGTAAATAAATCTACTCGAAAAGCATTCGAATTTATTGTTTTGAGACCTGAGATGCTTGGTTTGCAAGCGGTTCAAAAAAGGTAACGCGGCGTCTGTTAGACGCCAAGCGCTCCGTGTTCATCTCGCTCCGTTTAGAAACCGTGCTCGAATCGTTACGGCAAAAGTGACGTTTTCAAACAATTTCGCTTGGGCGTATAGCGTGAACGCGTTGGCTAATTTTAAAAGTTTGAAAGTCTAAAGTAATTTAAAAAGAAGTCTAAAAAGTAATTTAAAAAGTTTTTTGTATACGGTGAAGTTGCTAAAACATAAAATCGTAGCACATTATAAATGCTTTGAAGGTCCACGGAGATTTTCGCAGACACGATGCATATCACATCTAGCATATACCGTGTAAATCGATTGACGATGTTTAAATACTTTCATTTTCGTTTTGGCCTCGGGTGTATGTAACTAAACAATATGCCAATGGAACTTGCTCTTGAATTAAACTATTTCGTACTTATAAAAACAATCTCACCGTCTTATAGAATCCCTTGTGTCTTGGGCAAAACATGTTACAATATTCATGCAAATTTGTGGGTTTTAAATACCGCGACTGCACAGCAGCGTGCATAAATATACCGGCACGACAAAGCTAAACGACAGTATTTTACAATATGCAGCTTGTCTCGCAATTTTGTTGCTGCAAGGAAAAAGTTAGCATGGCTTAAAATAGTTCTCCTGTGCGAGATCCAGTGTTGACTGTTGTATTTGTTGCGGTGCTGGATGTAACGCTTTGGCTTTGTACAACAAAAATATTGCAAACGCGACGATTTCAGAGTATGTTATATACGTTGCCATTTTACACACTCCGTTTCCAATTATAGGCAAGTAAAAGATAATATTAAGTTGCTTATAAGTGAAACACCTCTTCAAGGCAAGTCGGTATACAATATTGTTGTCCCAAATGCTTGAGGTAATTTTTGCGATCGATTAAAGTCGCAACTGAAAATTAGCAACTGGCGAAATCCTAACGTCTTCATTGAAGATATTTTGCTTACTGTGAATTAGGTAATTCATTTTGTTGCAGAATTTCGTACAGCAAAATACACAAAAAACATAGAGGATATCGAAAGTGTATAAGTGGGTTTCACTCTTAAAATGAGCACTATATCTGTAATAGATGGTTGTCAATCAACAGCTAAGAAATTGAAGAAATAATGAGGGTAAATTACTCTTTTCGATATGTATTTGTAGTTGCAATAGTGAAAAGAGAGAGTTTTAAATTAGTTTATTTTTCTTGCTTTTTTAAGTATCGACATTTAGTGAAGTTGACCTGTATGTACCATCAGCTGATCTGCTTAACGAAACCTCCCAATATGCGAGAAAAAAAACCCCAATTGGTGGAGCATACCATCTCTTTTTTGGTGCAAAATCGATTCCTTGATCGTATCATCCAGCTTGAATCAAATCTTGTGATGCAGTTTCGTTTGAGATGAAAATTTTTTCGTCAATTGCAAATTTGTGTGCCCTCAGTATATCAAGTGTTCAAATGAATACGTATATAGTTCTTTCGCTTTTCGTAGTATTACAAGTGTTTTCCAGGAAGAAGATTTTTCTAGTGAAGCCTGTGATGACTTCACTTTTAGCTTTCATTAATTCATAAACATGGTTTGGGATAATTGCTTTTATTTGGGTTGAACTTTAGTTCAGACTATATAGGTGCCACCGATAAATCAACTTTATTATTATAGTCAGAAATACATCGAAACTGTTTTTCTTAAATACGAAAGTCAGTTTCACAAAACCGAAAGTGCAGGGTCGTAATTGTAATTGTATAAAATTACAATGAAGCCAGCGGGGTCATATTATAGTTAATTATTTGTCTAATCTTATACTGCATGCGGAAACCTAAACTAACTTTATTTATATGCTGGATAACTCCATCAGTTCTAAACTGTTCTCCCTAGAGGTCCAGTACTAAGGATCATCTTTTATTGATCCAGTGTTACTACAGGAGGAAACCTAAACTAAACGAACTTTATTTATACTGGATAGCTCTATCAGTTCTAGACTGTTCTCCCTAGAGATCCAGTAAGGATCATGTCTTATTGATCCAGTGTTACTACAAGAGGAAACCTAAACTAAACTAACTTCATTTACACTGGGCAGCTCTAGCTACCAGTTCTACACTATTCTTGAATTTACGGCTGTGATATCGTTACCTCTTGCTTGTGCTTGTAGTGCAGTCCTTTTTCCTCGGGTATTTTGAGAAATGTCCGCGTCGCAAACCATCATTTTGAACGCAATGAATTAAAGCGTGTAGGTAGAGTTAAAAGTAGTATACTGCTCCGTATAGTGCAAGCACCAGGCTTAACTGATTCTCTTCTGTAATTCGACTCACGATAATATGTCATGCCCTGCAATTGCTTGGCGGTTATACAGTATAGAGTACAGTAGAATGTGCTCTATACAAATTCCTTGTGACTCAGCATCGCTTGCGGAAGGTTGATTTCGGAAAATGATTTCGAAAATTCATCCTAGTTTCGTTACAAAAATTGGGCACGGCATCCGACATACGTGCAAAACTGAGTCATGTGCGAAGCTTAACTTTTATAAAACTTCATTTTAACTTCCGCGGGTTTTACATCTTTTTGCCGTATGTTTTGAACGTCCTTTATTTTAAGATCTAGCATTACAATTAAAAGCCTCGTGTTTAGTTTAGGAATAATAAACGACTGGACTCTCTTATATTTTTAAAATAGGTTTATTTTTCTGGGTTTTCGGGCTGTAAGTTATGGCGTGTTATATGAAAGCAAACATTTCCTAAATTTCATGCTATGTCACGTCACGAAGCAATTTTCACTTTAATTTGGAAATGATATATTGTTGCCATTTGATCTCGTGAAAATCAAGTCGGACATCCAGTCACGAGCTTGAGACCAGTGACAACGGCCGTAGTGATTGCCGGTCAGCTGCATAATTGAGCGCATGCGTTGTACGGCTTCGTGTTCTTGTTGCCAACGAAACAAGATCTTTGTAAACGATCAAGCAAGAAATCTATTTTGAAAAGTTGAAATCTTTAAAAAGCACAGTCTTAGTCAGTTTTTTAGACAGTAGAAGAAAGCCTTTTACTCATGGAAGACTCAGCACAAGATTTTGCCAAGTTAGAGTTGGTTTCAACGATAGGATTTGCCGGTAAGCTACATTTTTAAAATCATTTTTATATAATTTTGTGTTGTGGCTTTAATTTGGTTGCAACATTTGATAATGAGAGAAAATGGGAATAAAGTTAATCATTTTCTGTATATGTAGTAGTCTTACATTCGCTGGCAAATAAGTATAAAATTAAGAGATTTGGTTTTATTTTCTTCCTAAGAAAATTCCTACGAAATTCTTTCTAAAAACTCAAGATCCTGTGTATTCCTGCATGTTCATATTACACTCGAAGCTATCCTATCACTTATATTTATTGTGTTTCCATTTTGTTTTTGTAATTGCCTTTGCAAATCCAAAAATGGATCTGATAATCAGAAATTGGCATCGTCCTTGCATCCCCTTTCCCAAAGTTACGAGGTGTGTGTGGGGTGCACCCATTCCCCCCTCCCCCAGTAAATCCATTGCTGTATCCCCTACCCAAACTAAGCTATCATGTCTTGTCGGTAACCGGTCGTTTCGCCAACGAGTCGTTTCGCCAACTGTTAGTTCGCCAACGTCTCTGGTCGATTCGCCAACGTTTCCTCACGTTCTTATGTCAGTTCGCCAACGCAACGTTTAATCATGGATTGTAAAATAAACAATCTATGGTTTACAATTATTTTACAATCCATGGTCATTTAATAGTTCACGTCTTTATAATGTGAAACCATGAAACACAAACAATGTTTGTAGAAACTATGTTGCATGGAACGTTGGCGATCAAAAGCGTCACCAGCCGTGTTTAACCTTGGTTATTGTTCTATGCTCTATTGTGGAATTTTGTTAGTGCAGAGTATGGTTAATCTTTGTATTGTTGTTTGAAAACTCTTCAGTTGTGTTACTTGAATGGTATATCATATGCATAAAAACTTTCACATTTCGTGAGTTTAAGGCCCTACGAAAAATTACTTGTTTAGCGTCTGCTGATTAAACCTGTTTTACACCGTCTAAAAATAAATATCGGGAGAATTCGCTATTTCGGTTATTCTCTACAAACATTAATAGATTTATATATCCATGTATGAACTATGTAACGTTGGCGAACTGACATAAGAACGTGAGGAAACGTTGGCGAATCGACCCGAGACGTTGGCGAACTGACAGTTGGCGAAACGACTCGTTGGCGAAACGACCGCAATTCGTCTTGTCACTTTTAAGGTTGCGTCCCTGGTGGACTGATCGTACATCCTGATCAACACCATATCATCTACTCTGTCGGCAACACCATAATTGTCCAACACATTGTCAGCAACAAGCAGAGATTCCTTGTCGGCCATACGGACAACATCTCGTGCATCGCTGTGTCAAAGAGCGGCCGATACATAGCCTCGGGTCAGGTGACGCACATGGGATTCAAAGCCGATGTTATCGTCTGGGATTACGAGACATGCTCTAAGTACTGTTTGCTGACCTTGCATAAAGTGAAAGTTGAGGCTCTGGCATTCTCGCCAAATGATAAATATTTGGTCTCGCTTGGAGGACAAGATGATAACAGGTATAAAGACTAGCTTGATAGTCTGGCTGTCTGCCTTGTTAGGTGACAAGACATTCCGAATTTTAGGCATGCTTAACTGAGAGTAGTAATCCTAGCTGCATTAAGTACCGGATATGCAATAAAGTGTAATATATTGTAAAACACCACTTTTCCATTTTACAATTATGACATCATAGGGCCCCTGGAAAAGTTTTGCTTCCAATTTGTGATTGTGATTTTTTGGTTCAGGTGGTTTGGAAATTTTGACAAGCACTGTGTAAAATATATGTGTCCAATCGTGCCATTTTAAGAGGGAAAGCCATAACTTGAGTGTGTGGTTTTGTACTATTTCAGAGACAAAGTGCATGAACTTGAAACTGAGTGAAAATATTGCATTAAGCCAGGTGCATGCAATGCAATTTTAACCAGCCGATTATAGTCTGCCGATTAATGAAATATTTGCACATATTGCGAGAAATTATGACTGGGTGAAAATTAGTACCACACGAATGTAAACACAAGTAAGGATCCTTTAAAGCAACACCAAAAGAAAGATTGTAATATTTCCATGTATAGTGTTGTAATATGGAACATCGACAAGAAAGAAGCAATCTGTGGTGCACCGGCTGCAGTACCCAGTTCAGGAACATCGTATGTTGTTGCATTCTCTAACCATAATGACGAACTCTTCGTCACTGGTGGAAAGTAAGTCCACATTCATCTTTTTATTATACTGTATTTTATTACACCTGGATTTCATCAAAGTTGCAATGCACCATACTTTGTTATTTAACTCTGGCTATTCATATACACACAAGAAGGTAAACTTGTCAAGGAAAACTTGTTGACCGTACACACAAGAAGGTAAACTTTGTCAGGAAATTGTGCTCCTCTGTACAGGGCTTTGGTGTGAAACGGTGATGAAACTGGTATTAGACAGAGTAAAATAATAAAGTATGGTGTATTTCAGCTTAATTGGGTTAAGAGTTGACACCAAAGCCTCCCTTGTCTTTATTCTTTAAGCAATCATATAATTCAAATATTCAATGTTAAATGAAGAATATTTTTTCATTCTTAGCAAAACGTTAAGAGTTTGGGAGTTAGATCTTCCCAATCGCAAGATCCGACCAACAGACTGCAACATGGGACAACTCAAGAGAATAATAAAGTGTATAAAGGTAGTCCAACACAGCGTGTTTCCAACATAATCTTTTACTTAGGGTGGATGGGGGGGGGGAGCAAATCCCCATTAGATATCTTGGGAGGGGAGTGGGGGGTGGCAGACCCCCCAAAAATTAATGCAAGGAGTTGAATTTGAACAAAAAATATTCATGCATGAACATTCAGGGAAATAAACACAGCTTTCAGACCGTAAAAATATTCGACAAAGCTCCAAACGAAATTTGTAAACAAAATTTCCCCTGTTTCCAATAGTCCAGTTTGAGTCGTGTTTTAAACTACTATTGCAGAAGATTTTAATTAATTTTGTAATTTGGCATGGTCAAATGAAATACTTATTTACAGGTTGCAGAAGATGATCAATCGTTTTACTGTGGGACAACAAGCGGCGATATTTTAGAGGTACAGTAAGTTACTGCTTGGAACAAGAAATTAGTTGCATCATGAGAGCTTTTTTAACGCCCGTGGCTTGCTGAAAGGAGAACAGTTGACAAGCGAGAATTTGCGTCAGAGTATTCTCAAAATCTCGTCGTTCGGACAAACGAGAACAAGAGTTGCAAAAAGGTCAAACGAAAACAAGAGTTGTCCTAGTTCAAACGAAAACAAGAGTTGCATGAGAGTTGATGAGAGTTGAGAAGCGAGAGTTTGCATGAGAGTTTTCTCAACTCTCATACCCGGTCAAACGAGAACAAGAGTTGCATGAGAGTTGATAAGCGAGAGTTTTTGTATGAGAGTTTTCTCAACTTTCATGCCCCGGTCAAACGAGAACAAGAATTGAAAGAGAGTTGGTATACTGTATATGATACGATATGATACCAATGATACGTTCATGATATTGAAGGAAATAAAGCGCGGAGTTATAAAAGCCGCACTTTGCGTTCTAGGTGAACATGAAGACACGACTGTTCCGTCATTACGGTCCACAGAAAGAGAAATTCAGCCTGGGTATTCAGGCCTTACAGATACTCAAGACAGGTGACGTATTGGTCGGCGCTGGGGACGGTACTGTCGCGTTGTTAAAGAGTCAGACGTATAAACGAATCAGGTATACAATATTATATATTTTAAGTTTTGATCTACATGTATAGCCCATAGGTGGGCAAAATAAAATTTTAAGATGAACAGACTTATCATTATACTTCAGATATTACTTTCTCGCAGTTCAGACTTCAGACCTGGAAATATTTGATATTTGTCTTAAGCCTCCTACAGACGAACTCTCTTTTAAGGTCTGTCGTAGTTTAATGTGTAGAAAAACTTTAGCACATTTCCTGGAGTAAAGGAGCTACTAAATCTCTTGGTGTTGACATAGCAATGAACAAAAAATTCCCCATTCTGAGGTACCAGGGTCTTTTTGGGAAAGACCATGGTATTGTTTGGTCACGTGACTGGGTACGAGGTTGAAAATCCCCAGGTCGTCTTTGATCATGTTTCTAGATGCGTGTTTGTATTGTACATGTAGGACGGCAAAAGTTGATGGAGGTGTGACGTCATTGACATTACGTGGAGCTGGTCATCAGGTATGGTACTGTGATACAGTCTAGTACCCAGGCCTCTACATTAAAGACGTGCTGAGCGACGCGCAATCCTGGATCACCCCTAAGCTTGTATTTTTTGTAACAGTCTTGTACTGTTTTCTGTTAGTTTTTCGTAGGCACGCAGATATCTCAAATGTACCGGTTTAACTTGAGTGAATTCTCAAGTGAACTCATCAACACATGTCACTATGAGAAAGTCTACGATATCGTGTTTCCATAGTAAGTGCTATAAACCTTTCCTTGAATGTTTTTTGTAATGTATAAAATTATTTTTACGCATGAAAGAAACACAGGCAAACAAATAAACAAGCCACAAACTGACAGACAAATAAATAAACAAACAACAAACAAACTGACAGACAAACAAATAAATAAATAAACAGGCAGACAGACAGACAGACAGACAGACAGACAGACAGACAGACAGACAGACAGACAGACAGACAGACAGACAGACAGACAGACAGACAGACAGACAAATAGACAGACAGACAGACAGACAGACAGACAAATAGACAGACAAATAGACAGACAGACAGACAAATAGACAAACAAAAAACCCTGGAAACTAACAAATAACCAAGCAACAAACAGACACACTGCTCACAGTTAAGTGTTAGTCGGATTAAGTTAGATTTGTTGTCTCATTGTAAACCCTACCTATTGGAGTAATGTTTAATCGTCCCTCAGGCGATATAAAACTGATATCGCCTCGCCCCTGATACGATAACCTATGCTTACATATATTTTCTATATAGTGGATATTCTGATGTATTCATAACGTCTTCCAAGAATGATATACGTGTCTGGAACACTAACACCAGCAAAGAATTATTGAGAATAACTGTGCCTAATATGGACTGTAATGCCGTGGCTGTCACTGTCGACGGCAAATCTATTATTAGCGGTAGGTCGCATTTACTCTTGTAGCTCAGAAAGCAGGGACGCTTCGTACTAGCTGAACTTTGATAGAGCTATCCAGTAGAAGTAAAGATAATTTGGTTTAGGTTTGTTTCTGTAGTAACACTGGATCAATAAGAGATGATCCTTACTGGACCTTTAGGAAGAACAGTTTAGAACTTAGGGAGCTATTCAGTATAAATAAAGTTAGTTTAGTCTAGGTTTCCTGCTGTAGTAACACTGGATCAATAAAAGATGATCCTTACTGGACCTCTAGGGAGAACAGTTTAGAACTGATAGATCTATCCAGTATAAATAAAGTTAGTTTAGTTTAGGTTTCCTCCTGTAGTAACACTGGATCAATAAGAGATGATCCTTACTGGACCTCTAGGGAGAACAGTTTAGAACTGATAGAGCTATCCAGTATAAATAAAGTTAGTTTAGGTTTCCTCCTGTAGTAACATTGGATCAATAAAGGATGATCCTTACTGGACCTCTAGGGAGAACAGTTTAGAACTGATAGAGCTATCCAGTATAAATAAAGTTAGTTTAGTTTAGGTTTCCTCCAGTAGTAACACTGGATCAATAAGAGATGATCCGTACTGGACCTCTAGGAAGAACAGTTTAGAACTGATAGAGCTATCCAGTATAAATAAAGTTAGTTCAGTTTAGGTTTCTTCCTGTAGTAAGTATGTAACACTGGATCAATAAGAGACTAAAGAGAGCAAGAACAATTTGGAACTGAGAGAGCTATCCAGTATTAATAAAGTTAGTTCCATGTAGTTTAGTTTAAACCCGTTGTCATTTAGGTTGGAGTGACAACAAGATTCGTGCATACTCCCCACAAAGCGGCAAACTGATCTACACCATCAACGATGCTCATAACAAGGGCGTGACTGCCATAGCAACCACCAATGATGGGCGACATTTGATCAGTGGGGGAGGGGAGGGGCAGGTTCGTGTTTGGTCAGTCTCTGCAGTCAAACATAAGATGGAAGAAGCCATGAAGGAACACAAAGGTAACTATACCTCGCCTGCACATGTTCAGACTAAATTTTGATCTAAACAAGTCTAAACAATAATTTCATCACAGCTTGAAAGCGCATCACAAAATTAGTAATATTCCAAAGTTTCGTTGCGAAATGTTGTAAAATGCAGATAATATTGCCTTGCGAAGTTTGCCGTTTTTCAGTCATTTTGTATTACAAACGGGAAATGCAAAATGACTGAAAAACGGCAAACTTCGCAAGGCTATATTCGCATTTTACAACATTTCGCAACGAAACTTTGGAATATTACTAATTTGTGATGCTCTTTCAAGCTGTGATGAAATTTTTGTCTAGACTTGTTTAGATCAAAATTCAGTCTATAATGCAAATGGTCCATTGTAAACATTTTTTCTTTAGCACTTCGGAAAGGTGAAAAATAAACTATATCATACTTTGATTTCCAGGCTCTGTGACGTGCATCAAGGTTCGCAAGAATGATGAAGAGGTAAGGACGTGCTTAACTATCCTTTTGTATTAAGCCCAAGTAAATACACGAGAGTTTCTCATCGTTCTTCCTCATCCGTGGCTCGACCAAATCTTTCACCGTCTCTTATCACGTGGCTGCGAAATTAGAAAGCCATGGAGTGATGCTACCTCACCAAACGATAAGGAGGTAGCTCCAAATTCAAAACTTAGTTGAATTGAGAATTCAGCAGTTACAGGCCAACTACAAAAATCATATGAAGTGGAGCTACCTTTCTTAACCTCGAGTTATTGCAACCTCCTGCCCAGTTGTTGAGCAGTTCACTCCTCTGCTGCTTCTCAAAACAATCAATCCCTAATTCAACAAAACAATCTTTTACAACATTCCCATACATTCATGTTTCTACTCATACTGACTTAAACAATCCATCACGATCTATTTAACAAGATCTACTTTGCGATAACAGATACGTCCGCTGACGTTGAACAAGTCAAATTAAAGATACGATCCAATTAACTTTAGGAATGCAAGTTCAGTACTTTCCAAAAAATGTTCTTGATAACATAACAATATAAATTTAACTAATCTAATATAAACAAGACGCCTACTCAGGCGTTCACTCCGGGTACAGGGCCTTAACTAAGCGCAAAGCTACTTTAACGTATGCTTCTATACGGCAATGAAGGTATCTTTAATGCATGATATTTAGCATATTAAAGTTGGAAAAGTGGGAGAACCACACCACTTGACCAGGTGACTAAAAACATATGCAATGATCATAATATTTTATAGCATAAAAATAAAAGGACATTGTGACACTAATTATCTCTAATAAAAGCTATCTAGTTCTTTATTAAAAGTTCTATTTAAAACATGCGTAGGAGTGTTTTTTCAAGTCGTATATAATAAGTCGGAGGCCGTATTTTACAAATATTTTATGTTTTTTTTTATTGTCGAGGGTAGAAATTCGAGGGTAAAAAGCTTGAGGGTACATTTTAATAATTTAACAAAATAATAATTTAAGTTCGTGTTCACTTACTTTACTTTTAATTTTTAGCTCTTATTTTTATATGCAATTATTAATTTTTTATATGCGATTACTTTTTATATGACGAAATATTACTACATAAAAATAGACATGCCGATCAAAAGCGACAGTCGAGATATTTTCAAACGGCGTGGTGCATTATCTGCGTTATCTCGGATTGCATGTCGCAAATCATTGTATCAGTCTATATGGTCTATTGAATCAAAGTAATCAGGACTTGTTTACACCTTTCCATTGCCATACGCCTTTTCCGGGTTCGCGACGCCATCTTCAAAGTATTGTTTTCGCTATTGTGCTTGCCCCACTTGCAAATTTACCTATTGGCAATGCCCGCAAATTTCTACCCTCGACAATAAAAACCATAAAATATTTTAGAAATACGACCCCGGACTTTTTATATATGACCCTCGACTTTTTATATATGATTTTTCGACCCTCGCTTCCCACCCTCGACCCTCGAGAAGAACTCCTGAAACTGAATTACTAAAAATAGCTAACGTAAACAAACCACATTTATCAAACACGCAAAGAAAATTATTTAAAAAGTAATATATTGTTAGTCGTGTCATATAGTTAATTGTCAACACTTTTTCAATGCATGGTAGTAAGTTTATAACTGGCACCAAGTTATGTTGATATTTTGTTTATATAAACAGATTGATTGTTTTAATTTGTAAGGCTTCTGTAAGTTTGTTATTATCAAACGTTTAGATTGTTCTAGTAATGATTTTACTTTAAGACCAAGACAATGCAGCTGTCGAGACCGATTTTTAATACTCTATAAATAAAACATTAAACTGTGTAATAGAAGTAATAGTGTTGGGTAAAGCTATCTATAGTTATATATATTTTATACGCGCTTTTGTCTAATTCAAGCGTGGTAGACAATATTGCCAATATTGTTGTGGTTTGCGATATAAATTGCCTCGCGAATCGAAGACTTTCAGATATGTCATATGTCGAATAGATTTGTGCGTTGTTTGTACTTCAATTTTGGCCACGAGGCACAAATTAGGGAGACTTAAAGAACACGAGTGACGAGTGTTAACACAATTTAACTACGTACAGTGTTGACAAAATTAAAAAATACCGGGCCAACGTCAGTAACGAACCAAGCCAGTTGTCGATCAGAATTAGCTTTCCAATAACGGCAACCGCTACTAAACACGCGAGAAAGTCTCGAATTTCGATTTGTATTTATATGAACTGTGGTCATTGTATAAGAACGAGTGTATGAGAACCCCTCCATTTGATAATATTTACTGTAAATAGAACTAAATACATTGTAAACACAACGCTCGCTCCGATCTACTACGAATGGCGGCTATTTTTAGATATTTCGTATTTTTGTAGTGCGTTGCGTGCGTTGCGTACGGTGCACCTGTGGAAGTGCACACTTGCGTCGCCTAAGAAAAAAGATTGGCCATTTTAATACTCCGGTACTTACAGTACCCGGAGTAAATATATGCCACCAGTTGCTGGCTGACAACTCCAAAAATCATGTGGAGCTCGCCAGTTATATAAGCTTGGAGTTAAGGCTAAGCTCTCATTAATTTAAACTGGTTTCAATATTTTGTTATAGTGTGTGACAGCCAGTACTGATGGAAGTTGTATCATATGGGACTTAAAGTAAGAATAATGAATGAACCAAATGAGATTTCAAACACTCATTAATAATTCATAAGCTTAGTGAAACGCAAGAACTCCCTTTTCAAATGCCAGAACTCCCTTTTCAAATACCAGAACTCCCTTTTCAAATGCCAGAACTAGATCGGAAGAGCCAGAACTCCCTTTTCAAAGGCCAGAACTCCCTTTTCAAATGCCAGAACTCCCTTTTCAAATACCAGAAGTCCCTTTTCAAATGCCAAAAGTCCCTTTTCAAATGCCAAAACTCCCTTTTCAAATGCCAGAACTTGGTTTTCAAATGGCAGAATTTAATGTGAAAGTTTTTTAAAGTAAAATGTTAACACGGTAAGTTGTTATTTTATAAAACAATTACTTTATGGTTTCCGTGTTTGGATGGCCTGATCCAAACACTTGGGAATGTTGCTCGAGTGATTTCGCGCGCTTTTCTTAACTCTCGCAACATTCCCGTGTGTTTGGATCAGGCCATCCAAACACGGAAACCTTAAAGCATTCTTCATTTCTTCATGGTAGACGTTTTGTTCGAAATCAAGTGATCTTTGCCAACACTTTATTCAAAGCGATCTGCTATCGACCTGACGAATGTCAGATTATCACGGCGGGCACGGATAGGAAGGTATGTACTACTTTGAAAGAACATGCGCAAACGAAGGGTAGGTTTATGTAAGGTACGATTCTGTTTTAGATTGCTTACTGGGAGACATTTGATGGTTCTCAAATCCGTGAACTGGACGGATCAAAATCTGGTTCTATCGAGGGGTTGGATATTTCTTCTCTTGGTGACTATCTTGTCACTGGGGGTGCGGATAAACTTATCAAGGTATATCTTGTTTGAGCAAGCAAAATTTAGAACTGATAGAGCGGTGTAAATAAATTAGTTTAGTTTAGGTTTCCTCCAGTAGGAACACCGGATCAATAAGAGACGATCTTTACTGGACCTCTACAGGGAGAATTAACAGTTTAGAACTGATAGAGCTAATATCCAGGACAAATAAAGTTAGTTTAGTTTAGGTTTCCTCCTGTAGTAACACTGGATCAATAAAAGATTACCCTTACTGGACCTCTGGGGAGAACAGTTTAGAACTGATAGAGCTATTCAGTATAAATAAAATGAGTTTAGTTTAGATTTCCTCCTGTAGTAACATTGTATCTGAATAAGAGAAGACTCTTACTGGACCTCAAGGAAAACAGTTTAGAATTGATAGAGCTATCCAGTATAAATAAAGCTAGTTTAGTTTAGATTTCCTCCTGTAGTAACACTGTATCTGAATAACCTGAACCTCAAGGGAGAACAGTTTAGAACTGGTACTGATAGAGCTATCCATGCGGTATAAATAAAGTTAGTTTAGTTTAAGTTTCCTCCTGTAGTAATACTGGATCAATAAGAGATGATCCTTACTGGACCTTTAACAACCATACCTGAAAATATAAACAGAACGTCGACGTTTCTAGCACAGGCCCTTCGTTGCATGGGAACTTCCCAAACGTATAAATGTCGTTAGTTTGATTGTGTTTATCTGAAAACAACCAACGTTCCCTCTATAGGTTTGGAAATATGAAGAGGGAGCTATCACTCACGTTGGTGAAGGCCACAGTGGTGACATCACGCGACTAAAGATTTGTCCAAACAGGCAATGGATTATCAGTGTCAGTGCAGACGGTGCTATTCTTCGCTGGAAATATCCTTTTTAAAAAATTCTTGAACTATGCCATGTGATTGTATATATTAAATACTGTAACTTTAAAACTAATATATAATGAAACTAATGTATATTTTATGTTCAGCATTAATATATATATATGCTGTGTTCCAAACTAATATATATTTTTTAATGAACTAAACGTAGGTTTAACGGAGCGTAGATTATGTTTATGCACTGTAGTTTAATTATAGTGTTTATTAGGTGAATTGCTCGCTATGAATTGAATTAAAATTTACTCCTACTTATAATCTGGAATGGTTCAATAAGTTCGTATAGTAGTATATAACTATACGGAGGAAGAGTTAGTTACTTTCTTAAACTCATAAATAATCAATATAGCATTTGTAAATTCTGAACGCTGATTGGGTAAGAGCCGTGTTGATATAACTCATATTGGAAAATTTCTTCCTTTTATTTCTTTGTGCTATATTATAAAACAAATATAAAACATTTTTTCCGTATTGATATATAGTTATCAACATTCGTGGAAATTGGAAAAACTCGAAATTGTGTTCCCAATTGTGTTCGAAATCGTTTTCCCAATTTCCACTCGTGTTGATATAACTGTATATCAACACAGAAAATGTTTTATATTTGTTAAATATAATTTATATAAGCAAACCGCAATGCAAAACAGCACTCTAGCGTTATATGAACGGTAATAAACGATGATCCATAAATGTCCATAAGTTCTCTTTAAATATAGCCTATAAGTAGCAGGCTCTAATTTAGGGCCCTATACTCCAAAACATACAAAAGGTTAAAATTACCAGAGTGTCAATGAGTAAAGACTCGGATTTAGGCCTTATTCAAAGGTCACACAAACAAAGGCTGAACCTACTGTAGTGTAAATTAATGCCCTAATCTCAAGTACTGTGCATTGATCAGGAATCCCGCGCAAATCGGGTCATTTGACTCTGGTCGCGTGAGTATGCCACGGTGCGATAAATCGCGTACTTACATACCGGATTACCGGAGGTAGGCCAATATTACGGTCTGGTACTTCTTTGTTTTCAAGCAAGTAGGTACGCGGAACTCTTGCTATCTGCTATATTCAATTCCATAATTTAGTCCGTATATGTGTGAGTCTGACATATCTTGGCATGAAACATGATTGGACTGATGGCACTAAGAAACGTTGGAGTCGATTGTTTGTATATACAATTGTGCTCCTTTTTCTAACTCGTATTTTGAACATACTTTTCAGAAACCTGTACTTTATGTATTTTATTTGAAAGACTAAGTACACATTGAATATTAGGTTTGTATTAGCGCAAGTGCGCGGCAATAATCATTGGTATACCAGCCAGGTATGACTAAAAGTGTTGAATTATCGCACCCTGTAATCCTGTATGTGATTTTTAAAATGTACAATTTGCTAATTGGAAAATCGTGCTTGCACTACCAAGCCTTCTGTAATGGTGCGTAACACCCCATGATTTGCAGGATTCCAGATCTATGCATTGAGTTAGGTGCACACAAAGGTTAGGTTATCATTTCACATGGTCGACATTTACATTTAAGATTCTATCTAGTTGGAATTTACAATTTATATTTCATAATATGAAGTTCAAAGAAAGTTTTTGATGTCAGTATTTAGCCCCATGCTTGTGTCTTGCAGTAATACAGAACTAGCTTGCCATCAGCACCAAAACACTACAAAAGAATTTGATTTTATCATTGTTAGTTAACCTTTGTGAATACTGAATAAAACTGCTTTGTACCTCGGCAGATCAGCCAATATTATGAGTAAAAAATATGTGGTGGTGGTGTTGGTGTTATGACATGTTGTTGTTTAATTAACCCCCATTAAGGTTAAGGTGCAAGATATCTCCCTTAAAATCATCTGGCATTAAGTCCATTTTCACTAGGCGAATTTATTCGTGCAAAGCGAAAAGCAAATCTTTGCAATGCATGTGATTAGTCAGAGAAAAAAAATGGATCAGTTCCTACTTTTTTACTGTTTGCGCAAACAAATTTGCCTAGTGGAAAATGGGCTCCAGACAGGGTAAAATAATAAAGTAGGGCGCATTTCAGCTCAATGGGTTAATATTTTAATTTATGATTATTAACAGGCCCAGGCTCTCAGTATTTACTGACCTCATAAAGATTCTGGATGGGTTGATCAGGATAGGGAACAAAACATTGATTGACATATAGAAACTAAAATAATACCAAGATGTCAGTCAAGAAAAAAATTAAGGAAATTCACTTTTCTTGTAAATATATGTTGCATTTCTACATACCAGAGAATCCGACGCAGCACACTTGATATACTTTCTGATAAATTCTACTAAATATGCCACAGTTTTGTTTGCATCCACCGCCCACTTTTTCTTCTTCATAATAGGTGCATCACCCGCAGCTTTTAATAAAACATCAACTAAAACACATCAAGAATATCAACTCAATACTATGTCATTTTAAAATATTTTAAAACACACTAAATGTCGTAGTTTAAGCAATGTACTTTTAGTTTTTGTTTCTTTAGGTGTAGTGCTTGTATTAGTCTTTTCATCTGTTGGTTTCTGGGCCTGTTCTTTATCAACTAACTCGATATTTTGGGTTGCTTTTTCGGATTCATTTCCATCACTCCTGACTTCCGCCATCTTGAAAAACTCACGGCCTTCGTAGGAAAAGCCTGGGGAGGACAACAAATCCAGCGCGTTTTTCTGCGGTTTTTTTTCGTTTTGTCTTTTTGCTTCTTTCAAAGATGTATTCTCTTTCAAATATTGAAATTACGTACTAGTATTGCGCCTTGCATAAGTGACGCGCCAATTAACGTGGTAATACTGACATGAAAGCGCAATATGTGAACTTTATTTTGACTATTTAGGCACGGACGCCTGTCAGAAGATGCTCTGGCGACATTAATAAGATTGACGTTTTGAGTTCAACAATTTAATAGCTGTACAAGGTTAGGGTCATTTGTGCATTGAAACGGAAGTATGAGTTACCTGCTTAGCTTTCGCCTTTCAAACAGTTGTATTTGTAGAACTTACTTTCAAATGCCCTTTGAGGTTTGCACTTTGCGGTTAGCGGACCGGTGTAGCATACTGACAATATCTGGAGGGCTAGAAAAATGCTGTCCTGTGTGACCTTTGTTCACTCCATGATCTACGCACACTTATTTTTTCATCTATTTCCAATTAACTGCGAAGAGCCTCTTGCGGATTAAGTTTAAATCAAGGGCCTACCACGCCAGATGTTTTAGAACTTACAAATTTCCACGGTAATTACATAACTGATAATTGATAAGAGTGAGATTTTCAAAACGACAAGACAATCGAACATATTTTGATCACTGGATCATGACTGTTTTGCATGGAAAATTGCATGAATGAAAAGACATTGGAACATTCTGATTACTGGACCGTCACTGGACGCACTATTTTTTATGCAATAATGCAAATAAGGTCTATTTTTCTGCCGGAAAAATTGGCTGTCTAAAGGCCCGTTTACACTTGCAATTTTTACCGCGATTTCTAGTGCGATTTTCTCCTTCTGATGGATGTGAACGAGTATATGAGTTACGAATGTTCGGAGTATATGTACCCTCATCTGAACATTCATAACTTATCCACTCGTTCACATCCATCAGAAGGAGAAAATCGCACCTCAAATCGCAGCAAAAATTGCAAGTGTTATGACGTTCTAATTGGGATACGCGGTTCCGAAACTTCATGTAACATTCGAAACAAAATTTCGTTGACCGCATGCCATCAATCCATCATAGATTTATAAGAGCTGATGAAAGTGTGAACAGTATATTCCATAATAATACGATAGATATTTGTTTTATTTCGGATTCGTGAAATTTTCAAGCACCTGTCATCACTCACGCACAGTACCAAGTTCATTTTCCGGTCCGATACGTCAACTGGACGGCGGCGGTATTGACGCACATACGAACAATCATGCCAATCCTTGTTTCAATTTCGGGCGAATTTTTTCGCTATACTGTATTCTATAAAGACTGTAAAGACACTTGAGTTGTATTTAGTCCATCTTGGGGGCAAGATGCATTCCTTCATAATTACACAATACGTACTACAAAAAAAATGAGGAAAAAAACCACCCACGCGTCAAAATTCCTCTCAAACGTGACAGGAATGCAAGAGTTGAGTTACAACATTATAATTTATTCAAAATTGCAGCCGGTTGCTTTCATCGCGTCTTTACTTTCGAAAATGGCGGACGTCGAAACAGGCGGCGGAATTAACAGAATGAATCGCCGCGGAGCAATCAAAAAGCAAAAGGTTTCTGTCGTGAAAGGACATCAGTTTGTACTCACGTTCTTAAAACAGCCGTCATTTTGTGCCCATTGCAAAGATTTTATCTGGTAAGAGTAAATGGATTTTCTTCGCTGAATGAGTAAATATAAAAAGCCTGCGTTGACTGCAAAGATAACTGCGGTTTGTTGCATGATTTGAGCTCATTTTCTCCTTGGATTTTAGGGGTTTTGTGGGCAAACAAGGCTTTCAGTGTCAAGGTAGGGTATTTCGATAGGATTTCAGCTCGATTTTTGACTCAAACGTACGCGTGTATGTAAAATGTATTAAAGTTTTAATTGGCATTTTGCTATCGTATAGTTTGCTCGTTTCTCGTGCATCGAAGATGTCATGAATACGTGTCCTTTGATTGCCCAGGAGCCGACGTTAACAGCACAGAGGTATGAAAACTGTAGCTACACTGATTTTGTCAGTTATTATATTAAGATTCTACGAAAGGTATATATCAATTTACAAGCGTCTATTATTATTATGTCTGCTTTTCGATATTAAGGGCCAAAACCCACACAATATTTGTCATATATTAAAACTTAGCCTAACTTTGTGGTAATTTTTTATTTTAAGGCACCAGTGAGTCCACATTCGTTTAAAGTTCACACTTATACAAGTCCTACATTTTGCGATCATTGCGGCTCGCTTCTGTATGGCTTGATCAAGCAAGGTCTACAATGTTCAGGTAAAAATATTTCTATCACTTTATGATCTGAAGTCGTTTCGCCTGTTTGTTGATAAAATATTACCCTGCTTAAACTTAAACAAACGCTAAGTATATTTTCGTATATTCCATCGCAGACTGTCAAATTAACATTCACAAGCGCTGTGAAAAAGTCATTCCCAAGTTATGCGGAGCAGATCACACTGAAAAGCGCGGACGAATTCATTTGAGCGTTTCGTTCAAAGGGTCAGATGGAAGTGGAAAATTGACGGTGGAAGGTAAAGTCTACAAATGTAAATTGTTGTTTACAAAAGGCTTGAAACATATTGAGTTTCTTTTGACATTTTGAAGGGTTTATGTGGTGAAATCGTTATAAAGTTTTATGTTTTATATATTTTGTACAATTGCTCGCTTGCTGTGCATATTTATATGGAGTATACAACACATTAACATATTTTATTTAGCTGACATACTATCAAGCTAAAAAAACATGGAAATTTTGGATTTCCGGAAATGTCTTAGTGAAGTATTAATGTTTCACTATTAATATTTCACTCTTAATATATCCCGTAAATTGATCGCTTTCGGATGGTAAAAATTTGTGTTTTGAAATGCGTCGTTTCAACTTTCAAATATTAAATATTTCACAGAGGGGGAGTGGCTTGCTCTCTGCAATACAGCTGTAGCTTTTTTGAGCGGGTTTTTTCCGCTTTTTTACAAAACATTCTTGCAAGAAAATATTCTGGAAAAAATGTTCTAATTGTACAGTTCTATTTCGCGTTCGCACGCTTTCTTAAAATGGCGCGAAAGCGGTTCAAAGTATTAGGCTAAAAACATAATAGCATACAAGTTTTGAATTTTTCATAGTAATTAAAGGAAGGTCATTATTTTAAATGTTATGTTTGTTTTTACAACCAAACTTTCTTACAACCAAATTTCTTCTAAATTTAAAATTTGACAAAGTATTTATCACATTTATAATAGATATGGTTATTTTTGGTACAGTTTCCAATGCTTGCTAAGTACATAACAAATGATTCATTTATGAAGCTTTTGAAAAGCTATTCTTGTTAATAATTAATCCTAAGAATGTGCTGAAAAGCTTTTATATGTTTATTATTGAAGTGGGCTATTTTTACAGTAATATACTTTCAAAGGAAATTATGAATCTAAGTTACAAAAATGTCAAAATGTGCTTATTCCATAAAAATTGGCAAAATTTTAGGAATATGCTATAAAGTAAACCAAGATTTTTTAATGAACATATTTTTGCTGTCAAAATTGTTAAAATGGAAGTTCTAAACGCATGTATTGATATATTGGACTGTCATGTTGTATTTACATTGTAAGATGTTTAAAATTCTTAACTGTATTGGTGACTTTTTCTCCATGATACAAACAGGCATGTATGAAATATGTTAATTTTGGCATAAAATGCCATCATGAGCATAAAATTTTGTATTCTTAAAAATTGAAAAGAGTGTAGTTTGGGTTTAATAATTGCAAAGGCAGAGAATCAAATATTCATATATTCAAAAATTTGTTTGCAATCAGATCAGCTTTGTGCTGTGCATTGTGATGTTGAAAGGGCATATGTTTTACAGATTTAATTGCCTGGTAACATTTGAACAAAAAGCATTCTGATTGGTGCAAGGCATTTATTAAACTCTATATTTACCTGAGATGGCTTGTGGCTGAACTGTCTCATAAGCTACTTAAGATAAAAGCAGTTCAAATTATTTTTTGTATTCCATTGTGCTCTGATGGATGACCTTTATTTGAAATGTCAAAATGTTTCAAGCAATGCAAAAGCAGTTTATTTTGTACAGCACTTTTTACTTTATACTTATGCTAAATACTAAAGCGACTGGCCGTTAAGGTTTGACAGTCACAATTCTGTTAATCACCAGAAGGATGTTTGTATATCTAATATTCTTGTGATTACAATCTGTTGTAGCCAGCTGATATATCTGGCATTTAAATAGATTTCTAATTTTACTATCCAATCATGTGTGTTGGTTTGAATTAAACGCTAGATAATAGATATATTGGTTACTCAACTGTAAATTTATGCAACTGAAAACAAGGTCACTGAGACACCTGAGAGGCATTAGGTCAATTCAACATGAAATATCTTGCGTTCCTTCTATTGGAACAGTAATACTATTTTGATATATATTCACCGAAATTTGTTAATTTTAGAGCTCTGTAAATACTCTTGATCTCCCTTGAATTTTCCTGAAAATATATTTAGAGACAATATCATCTTGATTCTGTAATATTGGCACATGTAATATTGGCACATTTTCACAAAAACCATCACACGACGTCTTTGTGACAATACACACATCCGGAAAGTCCTTAGCCTTGGGGCTACAAAGGCTTGTTTTTGTGATTGAGATCTTTGCTTTATTAGAGCCCTTTATCTTGCTACTGATGTCCTAATTATAAAAATATCCTTAATAGTTTCTAATCTAATGTTTCGTAAATGTGCCACCTGCAACATAGTTACAAGATAAATTGCTCTAAACCCAATACTTCAATCACAAAAACGATGGCCAAGACCGAACACTTTTCCGAAGGGTGTATTAGCACAAACATACATCTAACCGACCCAAGACAAAATTTGCAAGAATATATAGATCTGGTAAAAGACTGTTTTCGAGTGAACTCTGGAGAAATGTGTCTAGAATAGCATGCTGAGTCCCCTGTCTGCTTTAGGTATGCATTGTCATTCATCTGATTTTCAAAACAAGTAATGTCTGCTTGAAAACATTGTTATGTCATTTTCTGAATTTTGTTGTTGTTTACCTCCTTTTTCCATGTTGCTGTCACAATTTATACAGAGTTTATGTCCAATGTTGCTGTTTCATTTTCTGTATGTTGCCATTTCAAGGCAATGCCACCTGTCAGAATTTATCCTAACAGGGTCTCTATGCTGCCTGAATGTGCTTGGTAGCAATAACAACTTCTAATCTTCATAATTCTGGTTTTCATGCAGTGCGTGAAGCTAAGAATCTCATCCCAATGGATGCAAATGGCTTATCAGATCCCTATGTGAAACTGAAACTCGTCCCAGACTCCGGGGGTGCGACCAAACAAAAGACGGACATCAAGAAGAAGACACTGAATCCTGTGTTTAATGAAACATTTCAGTTGTAAGTTGCTTCTACACTATTTCTAAAATTTAAATATCAGTAGTTCAGAAAGGAGTCTTATCCCCCTTCTTAAACCCATGCAACCCTTCAAGGAATAATGTCTGTCAATCATATATGTTGTTGCGCCCATAGTGGGACCAGACCTCTCAACTCTCACGCATTCGGCGTGAGTCTCGCGCAATTCGCTTCACTCTCACGCCACGTTTAGTAAATCTCACGCATATAGCAGTTTAATTCATAGTATTTTTTCAATAATATAATATTTTATTCTTAAATGCACATTATTAATCATTATACGGATCACGTATAATAGTATGCATATGTGAATACGGCAGACAAAAGCAGAATCAGTCGGAGCAGAATTCTATAATTATGTAAATTATCAAAGGCAAATTAAAGCTCATTACTGTATGTCACAGAAATACAGTTATTGTAACTAAAGTGCCTTGTCTTAAAGGACATTATGAAGCAATGTATTTCATTAAAAAACACCTCATAATGTACGAAATGCCATTGCAGACCCCCGCACTTTTACAAAGGTGTCATCCACATTCCCAATCTCACTCTTAACTTCTCTGCAAAGTTGAGAGGTCTGTGGGACATGGGTGTTAAGGTTTCCTTCACATTTTCAATAGCAAATCTTTATTCAAATGAATTTCCTGCAGCTGTTTAATTAACATTTCCTGCGAGCGTGCTCACCTATTTTTTAATCCCCTGATAATAGGTATGTTTTTTTCATTTAGTGCGATTGAACCAAATGACCATGACAGACGTTTGTCCGTGGAGGTCTGGGACTGGGATAGAACAACTCGGAATGATTTCATGGGCTCCCTGTCTTTCGGTATTTCAGAATTACTCAAGGAGTCGCAGGAGGGTTGGTTCAAATTACTGACCAATGAAGAAGGGGAATTCTATAATATTCCTATAAATGATGATGTGGGTCAGGCCATTGCAGAACTCTCTAAGAAATTCAAGGTAAAATGCAAGGTCCGATTTTGGTGGAAGTAGTGGGAGAAATGGAAAAAAAATTAGGGGAGGTGCAGCGGTCTAGCTCATGACCCCCATGGAAAGTTAGGGGCAACGTCAACGACGTGACGTATGCATGTAGTGTACATATGTATCAGTGTATGAATGAATCATGACTGTACAACTCATCCAATTTTGCCCTTCATTACAATTACTACAAAGTTTCTTTCGAAACATCGCATTGAAAGAGTACTTGACACAGAGATGAATGGCTAATCACTGTTTCAATTTTACAGAAAAACTTTCTTACAAAGTGTAGACCCTAAGCAACCGAAAAATGTCAAATTTTCACTTTGATCTATCATTGAATCTTTCCCAAGGGGAGGTGCTCAGGGGAGGTGCGCACCTCCCCACACCTCCCTTCAAAATACGTATGTATGCTTTGAAAATTGTTTTTTGAAAGTATCTAAACGAATTGTGCATTGATGGAGCGCACTTGCTCGGCCTCGTCCAATAACCAGAAAGATAACGTTTGTATACGTATAAAATGCACGACCAAAAACCAGTCTTATGTTGGGCTCTTAGGCCTGGTTTAGACGGCGAACTTTTCATGCGCCGAATCTAATGCAAGGATTAAGTGCGACGTTGGAGCGGCATCTAAATCAATTAAGTTCGGCAGGTTTTGATTAAGTTCGACACGACTCGAAGATGCGACAGGACAAGTCGTATATGCGACACAGGTTCGACATTGATTTAGACGCCGTGCTTTTCATGCGCCGAACCTAATGCATAATTATTTTTTAACATAATATGATTATCATATATTTGCATTGTAAATATTTCCAATATAATGTCTTCGCAATTTGGTACGGTGCAATTAAGTTCGACGTCTAAATCAGTTTCCGATATTTTGCCGTATCTACGACAATTAGATTCGGCGCATGAGAAGTTCGCCGTCTAAACCGGGCCTTATACTTTTATATATTGCAATTACTGATACAACCCATGGTTGTTACAATATCAGTTTTATTAATAAAATTATTATTAAAAAAAAATTAATAGTATTATAAAACTATGCTGTATCATTTTTCAGTTTAAACCCGAAAACGAAGCACCACAGGTCCAGGACGATCCTGCGAAAACGGAAACTGCTCAGACGAACAACAACAGTCATCGTCATAGCATGGACGATTTTCACTTTCTTAAAGTTCTTGGAAAAGGGAGTTTTGGCAAGGTTGGTTACCGTAACGTTATAAAAATTTGTACATATTAGGAGTTCATGTTTAACCATTAATACGCAAGACGGGCTGGCGAGTGAAATCGTCTGACGTTAGACTGAATAATACCGCTTGATGGTGAAAGTCCAGACACACCGGACGCGATTCGACAACGCGACGCGATTTTTTAGTTTTTGAAAGTTAATAAACTGACAGCTAATGAGAGCAAATTTTAAAAGATATGTAGACCAAATAACTCAAAATGTTATAGCGCTTCTGAATATTTGGAAAATTTAAACTAGGATCAAAGTTATCGGTCAGTGAAAATCGAAAAATCGCGTTGTCGAATCGCGAAGGCCCCCTTTCCATGAGACCGCAAGGAGTAACGCAGTGCTTTTCTTAATTTTTGCCCCAAATACAAGTGCTGTGTGGATAAATGTAAGGAATAAACGTAGTGCTCAGAACGCAGGAAATGGCATTTCAGGGCTTCAAATTTCAAACATTTTCTGGAGGAGAATGCCCCCGGACCCCTGTAGTAACGCACCCCCTCTGGAAAACTTCCACTCCCTCTGGAAAACCTCCACCCCCTCTGGAAAACCTCCACCCCCCTCCCCCACCTCCACCCCCTCTAACAAATCAAGTCCGCCCCTGTTGTTATATACGATAAATCTCGCGTTGCAGGTGATGCTTGCGGAATTGAAGTCCACGCAAGATGTGTTTGCAATCAAAGTATTGAAGAAAGATGTGATAGTTCAAGGCAATGATGTGGATTGCACCATGATTGAGAAACGTGTCCTATCGTTAACTAATAAACCTCCGTTTCTGACGAATCTCTTCTGCTGTTTCCAAACAATGGTGAGTTAGCCAGGCTTCCTGATAGTGTGAACGCTAGGAGATTACTCCGCACTGACAACATTTGACTTGCAAAAAATGAAATACCACTACTGATAGCAATAATTTTCGTAACAACTTTATAACTACAAACAATGCTGCTACCAAAAATTCATTTTTTCCAGCACGAGCTAAACATCTGAGTGTTACTTCCTTTAGGCGACTTTATTCTAAGTATGTACAATGAAAAATTTTCAACATACTCTCCACCATAATCTAGTATTAGATCATTTGTATATTTAACAAATATAAAACATTTTTCGTAATGATATACAGTTATATCAACACGAGTGGAAATTGGGAAAACGAGAAATTGGGTGTGGAAACACGTGAAGGGCGGAATGTTTTCACATAAATTCGAGTTTTCCCAATTTCCACGAGTGTTGATATAACTGTATATCAATACGGAAAAAATGTTTTATATTTGTTTTATAATATAGCACAATTAAATATAAAGAAAGAAATTTACCGACGTTTCTGTGTTGACATTGAGTTATATCAACACGTCTCTTAGCCAATCAGCGTCCAGAATTTACAAATGCTCTATTATAACGTATTATAGCACGTAAGGAGATGATATCACAAGGATGATCTGCACACAAGGACATGATATCAATTGGGATTTTATCCTGTTTCTTCTCTTGTCGCTTATGCATTATTATTATTATTGTAATGTAATTTTGTGACAAATCCTAATCTCTGTGTCCTAATAAACTAAACTGATATTTTTTAATTACTTAATTGTTGACTTCTGAAAAGCGACTCTATACTTTTGTGTACGAGTTCACTCATTTGCATCCGTCAGAAACACAAAGTCGCCGACAAAATTGCTAGTACGAACCAGGCTTAACTCCCTACATTAACATACGGACGTCTCTGAGTTTCTTGGAAAATATTCACAATTTCTTGGAAGTAAATTTTCTGCTTCAAGATCCGGAAAACATTCGGAAATATTTTTTCCCAAAAATATTTACTATCAAGTGTTTCTCTAGGACCGTCTTTTCTTTGTGATGGAGTATATAAATGGTGGTGATCTCATGTTCCACATTCAAAATTCTGGGAAATTCAAAGAGCCACGAGCGGTGTAAGTTAATATCTTGTATCCAGATCAAGTGAAGGATGGATTTTTATTAGAATTCATTTTTGATTCTTGCAGATTCTATGCCGCTGAAATTGTACTTGGTTTGTTGCATTTACATCACAAAGGAATCATTTACAGGTACTGTACATAACAAATTTACCGGTACTGTACATAAAAAACGTAGTTGTTGTTGTTGTTGCTGTTGTTGTTGCTGCTGTTGTTGCTGCTGTTGTTGTTGTTGTTGTTGTTGTTGTTGTTGTTGTTGTTGTTGTTGTTGCTGCTGCTGTTGCTGCTGCTGTTGCTGTTGCTGTTGTTGTTGTTGTTGTTGTTGTTGTTGTTGTTGTTGTTGTTGTTGTTGTTGTTGTTGTTGTTGTTGTTGTTGTTGTTGTTGTTGTTGTTGTTGTTGTTGTTGTTGTTGTTGTTGTTGTTGTTGTTGTTGTTGTTATTGTTGTTGTTGTTGTTGTTATTGTTGTTGTTGTTGTTGTTGTTGTTGTTGTTGTTGTTGTTGTTGTTGTTGTTGTTGTTGTTGTTGTTGTTGTTGTTGTTGTTGTTGTTGTTGTTGTTGTTGTTGTTGTTGTTGTTGTTGTTGTTGTTGTTGTTGTTGTGGTTGTTGTTGTTGTTGTTGTTGTGGTTGTTGTTGTTGTTGTTGTTGTTGTTGTTGTTGTGGTTGTTGTTGTGGTTGTGGTTGTTGTGGTGGTTGTGGTGGTTGTGGTTGTGGTGGTTGTTG